TGGCTTTTAGCTATCTTCTGCAAACTCAAAATATAAGGCCAAAGACATACCAGACAAAAACCAACCAAAATATTTGTATAGTAATTAACAACAACAAAAAAAATGAAAGTAACACAAATTCACAGAGTCACTACAAAATTATAAATGGTTCAGGTCACCAGAAAAGAGGAACATTTCTGAATTAGCACATAACAAGTGGTAAAGAAAAGAAAAAGAACTTTGGGGCCGGTGCTGTGGCGCAGCGGGTTAATGCCCTGGCCTGAAGTGCCGGCATCCAATATGGGCGCCAGTTCTAGTCCCGGCTACTCTTGTTCTGATTCAGCTCTGCTATGGCCTGAGAAAGCAGTACAAGATGGCCCAAGTCCTTGGGCCACTGCACCTGTGTGGGAGACCTGGAGGAAGCTCCTGGTTCCTGGCTTTGGATTGGCACAGCTCCGGCCATTACGGCTATCTGGGGAGTGAACCATCGGATGGAAGACCTCTCTCTGCCTCTCCTCTCTCTCTGTAACTCTGCCTTTCAAATAAATAAATCTTTAAAAAAAAAAAAAAGAACTTAAAAGAAAAATTGGGAGATCTGGTATGATAATGAGATTTGAGTTGTGCATAGAACAACTAATGGTCATGAAATTGACCATATGACAGGATATAAAGCTAGTGTCAGATTTAAGAAAATTGAAATTTTACAGGTTATTCTCTGGCAAAAATGATAATAGAAATATAAATCAGGCTGGCGCTGTGGCTCACTAGGCTAATCCTCCGCCTTGCGGCGCCAGCACACTGGGTTCTAGTCCCAGTCGGGTGCTGGATTCTGTCCTGGTTGCCCCTCTTCCAGGCCAGCTCTCTGCTGTAGCCAGGGAGTGCAGTGGAGGATGGCCCAAGTACTTGGGCCCTGCACCACATGGGAGACCAGGAGAAGTACCTGGCTCCTGCCATCGGATCAGCGCGGTGCGCTGGCCGCAGCACACCGGCCGCAGCGGCCATTGGAGGGTGAACCAACGGCAAAGGAGGACCTTTCTCTCTCTCTCTCACTGTCCACTCTGCCTGTCAAAAAAAAAAAAAAATATATATATATATAAATCAGACACTGTACAATCTACCTCTGATGTATGAAAATGTACCTTATGAGTTAAAATAAGCAAACCTCTAAAAGGGTTAATCCAGAAAAATTGAGAAGGCACAAATAAACTAATAGGAATGAAAGATCATTTCAGATTCTATGACAAGTAAAATGATACAAGGATAATATGGACAGCTTCATCTCATAAAAATTTAAAATAAGTTGAAATGAATAAATCCTGGGGCTGGCGCTGTGGCATGGGTTAAACCTCCACCTGCAATGTTGGCATCTCATATGGGTACCGCTTCAAGTCCTGGCTGCTCTACTTTCAATCCAGCTCCCTGCTAATGTACCTGGGAAAGCAGCAGAAGATGGCCCAAGTACTTAGGCCCCTGTACCCACGTGGGAAACCTGGAAGAAGCTCCTGGCTCTGGTCTGGCCCAGCTCCTGCCATTGCAGCCATTTGGTGAGTGAACCAGTAGATGGAAGATCTCTGTTTCTCTCTCCTCCTCTCTGCATCTCTGCCTTTCAAATAAATAAATAAATCTTAAAAAAAGAAATGAATAAATCCCTGGAAAAAATGTATTATGTTGAACAAAATTGACTCAAGAATAATATAAAATCCTAACAATCTTATAACCCTTAAGTTAAATAACTAAAAATTTTTCCATGGGTTCCAAATGGCTTTAAAGACTGGTTTTGGGGCTGCTGCTCCACTTCCAATCCAGCTCTCTGATGTGGCCTGGGAAAGCAGTAGAGGATGGCCCAAGTCCTTGGACTCCTGCACCCACGTAGGAGACCTGGAGGAAGCTCCTGGCTTCCAATCAGCACAGCTCCAGCTGCTTCGGCCAAATTGGGGAGTGAACCAGAGGATGGAAGACTCTCTGCCTTTCCTTCTCTTTCTGTGTAACTCTGACTTTCAAATAAATAAATCTTTAAATAACAAAAAAGAGACTGGTTTCAAGTTTAAACTCCTCCGGAAAATTGAAAACTCATTTATTTCATGAGGCTAACATAATCTTTTTTTTTTTCTTAAGATTTTATTTATTTATCTGCGAGGTAGAATTACAGACAGTGAGAGGGCGAGACAGAAAGGTCTTCTGCCTGTCTGCTTGTTCAATCCCCAAATGGCCGCAATGGCCGGATCCAGGAGCCAGGAGCTTCTTCCAGGTCTCCCACACAGGTGCAGGGGCCCAAGGACTTGGGCCATTTTGTACTGCTTTCTCAGGCCATAGCACAGAGCTGTATCGGAAGTGGAGCAGCCAGGACTAGAACCAGCACCCATATGGGATGCCAGTGCTGCAGGCGGAGGATTAACCTACTGCCCCACGGCATCAGCTCCTAACATAATCTTTTTTTTTTTTTTTTTTTTTTTGACAGGCAGAGTGGACAGTGAGAGAGAGAGACAGAGAGAAAGGTCTTCCTTTTGCCGTTGGTTCACCCTCCAATGGCCGCTGTGGCTGGTGCGCTGCGGCCAGCGCACCGCGCTGATCCGATGGCAGGAGCCAGGTACTTCTCCTGGTCTCCCATGTGGTGCAGGGCCCAAGCACTTGGGCCATCCTCCACTGCACTCCCTGGCCACAGCAGAGAGCTGGCCTGGAAGAGGGGCAACCGGGACAGAATCCGGCGCCCCGACTGGGACTAGAACCCGGTGTGCCGGCGCCGCAAGGCGGAGGATTAGCCTAGTGAGCCGTGGCGCCGGCCCCCTAACATAATCTTGATAGCAAAACTAGACTAATAGTACACAAAAGTCAGTTTACAGACTGATTTCACTCATGAACATGGGGCAAAACTCCCAAATAAAATACTGACAAACTTGAGTCCAGCAATGTGTTAAAATATACATACATACACAAATGATGAAGTTGGGTTAATACTAGGAATTAAAGATTAGTTTAATATTAAAAGGTCAACTACCACAATTTATACATTAACAGGTTATAAGAGAAAATTTAACAGATGCAGAAAAAAAACTTCAATAAAATTCAATATCCACTCATAAAGGTCATTTATTAAAAATATTGAACAGTGAAATGTTAAGAACCTTTTTTAAAAAGTTTTTTATAAAGTTAATTATAAATCTTAATGAAGAATGGGATGGAAGAGGGAGTAGGAGGTGGGACGGGAGTGGGGTTGGGAAGGCGGGTATTGGGGGAAGAACCACTATATTCAAGTTGTACCTATGAAATTTGCATTAATTAAATAAAAGCTTAAAAAAAAGTTTTTATTTGGAAGGGAGAAAGAGAGAATATCTCCCATCTATTGGTTCAATCCCCAGATGCCCATGCCACCTGGAGCTAAAACAGAAGCCAGAAACTCAATCCAGGTCTCCCCATGTGGGTGGCAGGGACCCAGGTACTTGAGCCATCACTTACTCCTCCCAGGATTCTCATTAGCAAGAAGCTGGAACTGGGAGCATAGCCAGGGCTTGATGCCAAGTAGAGTTTTAACTGCTATGTCAAATGCCCACCCTACAGCATTTCCTTTAAACTGGGTTTAAGGCAAGGATGTTCATTCCCAGTTCTTTCAGCATTGTGTTACGGTCCCAGCCAGGGCAGAAATACAAGAAGAAATATTTTAATAAGTATAATTATCAGAAAGGAAGAAAACTGCTATGATTTGCAGATGGAAAGATAAAAACCTTAAAAAGACACCAAGATAAAGTACTAGAATTAATAAAATTTAGCATGGTTGCTGGATCTACAATCAATATTAGCAACAATTAGAATTCAACTTACCACAATATTAAAAATGCTATAAAGCCCCTAAAAGAAATCTAATACAAGATGTAAAGATCTTTAAGGAAAAGATAAAGTTTACTAAGAGACATTGAAGAAGTAAGTCTTCAATGGAGATATGCACAATGTTTTTGGCTGGGAAGACTCATTTTTAAAATGTTCTATTTTCTACAAATTGATCAACAGATTCAATATGGTTACAAAAGAAATATACACACGCCAGGAGAAGATATATGCAATATGTTTAAGTAACAAAGGATTAGTCTCCAGAATATATAAAGAAATCTTAGAATAAGATAGAAAAACAAGCACAAGACACAATTAGGTATTGCAAAGAAGAGGATTCACATGGGGGAACCATAAATGTGGGAAAAAAAAACACTCAGTTTCATTAGTAATCGGTAAAGTGCAAATAAAATCCATAGTTAGATACTATATAAGAGTCATCCAATTGACAAACACACTTGCTTTGCTGTAGAGCAATGCTGTCATCACACATCTGGAAAACATTTACACTTATGAAAAAATGAAGTGAAAAGAATAGATAATGTCTTAACATTACTATGAAAATAGTTTTGTTCTCACAGACCCCTCCCAAAAGGGGCTCAGGAGCCCAGGACCATACTTAAAAAACAATTATCCTACAGCAACTCTCATACAAGTGCACCAGGAGACAGATACAAGGAGTTATTCATTCTTCAAATATTTATTGAGCATCTATCCTGTGCCAATTATTGTTCCAGACATTGTGATAACAGCAGAGAACAAAATAAACCACTGCCTGCACAGAGCTTACATTGTAACTGGGAAGAATGTTCATAATAGCATTGTTTATAGTAATAAAAACAAAATAATCCACATCCAATGGATAAATAACGACATAGTCACAGAAGGAAACATTATACAGCAGTGAAAACATGAAGTACACGCATAAACATGGATAGGAATCTCAAAAACAATGTCAAAAAACAGTCACAGAAGGATACATATGATTCTATTAACACAAAAGTTCAAAAACAGATAAATCTAAATGACAAATTACTAGGGATACATACATAGAAGGCAGAGCCACAAATAAAAACATGGGAATTATTAATAAAAAGTATTAACAAAAATACACAAAAAATGTTTACCCCATGTGGTGTATATGGAAAGAGGACAAATTGGAGAGGCGGGGTATTTCTAGGCATTTGAGAATATTCTAGTCCTTAAGCAGAAGGTTGAGTACATGTGTGATTCTTTTTTTTTTTTTTTAAGATTTATTTTCTTTATTTGAAAGACAGAGTTACAGAGAGGTATGTGTGATTATTTTCAAAACCATACATACATACATAGCTTGTATACTTTACTAGATATAACATATTTTAAAAGAAAAAATATATAAGGTTATGCAATACATTCTTTCATCAATAAAGAAGAAATATCTGACATTTCAGCCACTGTTGTACTAGTCTATCTGACCAATTATTAAAATGCAGAATAATACATGATAATATGAAAATAGAAACAAGATGGACTATTCCTCACAGAAGTTAAGTAGATTTCTATAGGGTGAAGATCCAACAAGATGGTACTATTATAGTATTACTCTTCCAAATTGGCTCAGTCACTGCCATGACTCCAGCTAACTGCTTACTTTGTTCATAGGGTATGATTATTTGTACACAGTAGATAATGGAATGACAAAGACACCATCTCTTCATTGAATTCTGTTGACTTCTGAAAAGTACAAATTTCCTCTGGCACATTCTTCCAATAATGCACTTATGAGTTAAGTATTCCAGAAACATGGAAGGTGCATGGCAGCTGTTCAGACTGTTTCTCCACATTGATAACAGGTGCCTTACTGGCCACACAGATGTTAACAATTTTGCAATTTTGTCTTTGCCAAGGTTATCATCATCAATGCCATTTTTCAGGATGAAGATACAATTAAGGTGTAATTTCTCCTGACAGGGAATTATTTTATACACAATTAAAAAATTTAAAAACATTAAATAGATCTTGAAACATTCAATACATTCGTTGCACCCATATAGGGCAGACTAAAGTTACCATCTTGGTTTACAGAGTTGGTGTATGGGGCAGAATAGGTCCAGCAGCAAACGGCTGGCCTAAGGATTGGGAAAGTAGCAAGTGTCTTCTCCAGGTCTAAACACCTCACCTGGGTTTGCAAAGGGTGCCAAACTCATCAGAAAATTAGGCACTGCTTTGATTATTTTAAAAACCCTAGACAACTATTAAGACCCAGAATCTTCCCCATATTTAAGTCGGAATAGACAATGCCAGCAGGGGGTGCTAAACTTCAATTGGTAGCAGGATGATTTTGGATCAAGCACTTGGATCTTCGAAACTACCCACTCTCTTATATGCTTTGCTTTGTTGTATGAAATAGGAAGTGCTATGCCTATAGCTTTTTGTCCCCTCCCCAGTATGAAGACAGAAATTAGGAAGAAACTCTTAAGTTCTTAGAGAACTTCTATCTCCTCAGATAGGAGCAGGAGTGGATAACCCTCTAGGTCACAGCAGAACGTTTGGTGGACCATGAATACTAGTAGACAGGAGTTACTGTGTGTTCAAATTCAGACACCAGCTTACTGCTGCTTATTTTTAACCTGCACATGCTCAGACACAAAAGGTTCTTGTACCTTCCTCAATTCTCACACTTAGCAATGATGTATACCTCAGCTTCTTGTCTCGTGGCAAGGAGATGATGAAAGGGAAGTGGGTAGGATGGGGGGGGGATAACTGTCACTGTTATAGCTTCCATATCTAATATGGCACCAATTTCATACTTTTTTGTACTCTTATCTTCAGAGGTTATATGTAAACACCTTGGCATCTTTAAGCAGTCTTCAAAGACTGTTGAACCAGCAAAATGAAATCAGTAAGTGAGGAACACTTGTATAGCATTCACAGCCTTATACCTATGACTTACTAGCCTTCTTTTCTCTTCATTTAGCTTATAAAATTTATTGTTTCTCTCCTAGAAAGTTGTATACAATGTTGTAATGCCTGTTTTTCCAGGTATGATGATCATACTAACCCCTTCTGTAGTTACAAAAATATGTAACACAAATGTTACTGGGAACCTTGAAAGGGAGATGTGCCAATGTCATTCTGTTTTCCTGAGTCTAAGAATCTTTTGTCCTACAAGCTCAGAGGGGACAAGAGTGACTTGACTTGATACGTAACGTAATAGAATCCAGTGTACTTCCAACTCTGGTATCTGTGTCCCCCAACACTTCCTTGTGCTTAAGTAGTTAGTTTATTTCAAGATACTTTTAACAGTTTTTTTTTTATTTGTTTTGGTTATCCATTGTTAAAAACCCAGCCATGCCTCATAATTTCATTAAATGCTAACACTTATTCAAATCAAAGACCTCTTGAAACCTCTATCTCTATATTAAATCCCCTTTATATTCCAGAACTTCTCTTGGGAACCTAAGTGAGAGCAGGGTGGGGTCAAAGCTGAAGCATTTGGAATTCCTCCATAGGTCTATTAAATCTGCTATGATCGCTAACCCTTTCAACACCTCCCTTTCATTTTGACCCCAATTTGAAAGTGGAAAATGAGAGTTTGGGAAGTGTGACAATTTTCTGTATTCATTTATTAAAATATTTAGGCACCAGCTAACTGGCCACTATGGAAGGGATATAAAGATCCCGTCTATGCCTCAGAGACCTACCTACCTTTTAGTAAAGGGAGAGAGACATGGTAACAAATAAGGGCATGTCTTTATGAGAAGATTTCACAAAGGACAGTGAGGCACAGAAAGAATGGGTCAAATCGGCTTGGAAGCGGAGTATATTAGGAAAGGCTTTACCAAACTGAATTTTGAACAAATGAATGGAGACTGGTGGAAGTGGGAGAGGGGAGTGTAGGCAGGAGGAGGTACATAAAGAGTATAGCACTGCAGATACTAAACAGTGTGGCAGGATCCCAGGAATGGATAAAAATTTCAAATGACATTGATTAAGTCTGAGGAAGGAGTTCGCTGGATTTGGGAAATGGGAAGTCACCCCTAATCTCTGAATAGAGAGCCATTTCAATAGAGAAGCAGGTCAGAAGCCTGGCCGCTGAGAATTTAAAGAGTGAAAAGCAGGAAGAAATATAAGAATAAATGGAAGACAAAAAAAAAGGTGACAAATTTAGATTATTTCTTAGAGCCATTTGCCTTTTTTACTTTCAAGCATATTAGTTCAGCTACAGTAAGAATTGGATAAGCTTTACATTTCTATGAAAAAGGATTCTCAACCATAATCCAATAACTTAAAAAACAAATTTTGAGACACAATCCATTCTTAGAGACTGTCTATATTAATTTAAATGAATGCCATGAAATCAACACTTCTACTGATTTTCTCTGCCATAACTAATTTTTCTTTAATGTAATTCAAAATAAATAACACCTGTAATTGCTTATGGTAGAAAAGGTGCTTTATTTTACATATCATTGGTACACGACACATAAAACTGCCTAAAATCAATCTTGTCAAACAAAACAGTCAGTTACACCTCAAGTCATCAAAGACCAAGCCTATTTCGCATCTACTTCACTTATCATCAGAAGGCTAAAATAATTTGAAATACTAATAATGTCTTCATATGCAATGTTACAAATGGTTTTTTGTTACAAGTACTATAATTTTTAAAAATATCTTTAGTTATTATAGACCATATATCTAATCAGAACAAATCTCTGCTAGTCTATAAGTCTTTGAAATAACAGAACAACAGTTTCACCTTCCTACAGATGGTTACATTTATGTAATTGGGTTATGAGGCATGGGTGCCTCATACGTGCAATCATATTATTTCAAATTGTTAAAAAACAGATAAAATTGAATTTATATATACCCTATTTCTAATTAAATTGTCAAAACAGTTTACTGAACTAAATAAAGCCAATATAATGTTTTAAAAACAAAATTCTAAGAGCATGCAACATCAAAAATAATTTCATTACTTATTTCAGCCAAAGTTGCGGAGTACAGGAAAAGGTGTGTTATATCTAAATTGCTTATCCAACTGGGAAGAGTTAAGAAACTAATTTAACTCAAGGTAAGTCCTCTTATGAAAAATTGTCACATGATACAGTCCACTGTTTCACAAAGTGATCTTAATCACTTAGAAAATGTACAAATCATAAGAAGCTAACTTGTAGTTTTCTCATTATTTACCTAATTCGTTCTATTCATGAACATATAGCTCAAAGATCTCTTATTAACTATTAATGTCAAAGCCACAGAGATTTCTAAATGGCATCTTTTAATTACTATGAGATAAATACCATCTTTGAATTACTCATCATTACTTATGAGAAACATGATTGGTGCTTAATGTACAAATGCCCAAATAATAGCAACAGAACCTGGGCTAATCCTCAAAGTGAAAGCATCATTATTTTAACAGATCCCTTGGTCTAGAAAGGCTGCCTTTTCCTCTAAAAGGTTAAGTCATATGTTAGGATGACAGATTCATATTCATCTCCTGGTCTAGAACAGTAGAGGCATTTAAGCAAAGTAAACTAAATCAAATACTAAACAGGAATAAATGTGCACACTCAAAAAAAAATCCTTTTCTTTGCTTAGAAGTAACTTATTCCTTGTTATTAAGAGAAGTGCTTTAAGATAAAAATTACTAATTACTGCAGAGACTAAGGGGTTAAGAGTTTTTGTAATAAAACAAATGAATCATTAAAATAATTGGGCTTGAAACATACACTTATTATAACTTTCAGTTCTTATTTTTTTTGTAACTAAGCACACACATATACACAGCAAACCCTAGCATTTAATATGTGCAAAATTGCTTACCATTTATTTTAACTTTGGTTAAGTACTTTTTTAGCCCATATCAGACACATTATGGAAGCTATAAAATGATTACAAACATAATAATGAGGTAAGTTAATATTCTACTAGTGCAAAAAGCAAGCATATGCCAAAAGCAAAGCATATGAGTTAAACAAATGCAGAGGAAGCTCTCACCAAGGGAGTTGCTGGAATAACCAGAGAAGCTCCTTGTAAACATTGTTTGTAAGATACACATTTGAAGATTAAGGATTCATACAACCACAAAAAAAAAGTATTCTAACAACACCATAGTAGTGCATTTATTTTTAGAGTTCAGAAACCACTCACTGCGTGTCTAACAGTTTGCATATTTTCTTCAAGAAAATTTAATTAGTGAGACACATTAATTACAAATACTGTAGTATAAAAATCCCAGTTCTTTACAAAAATTATATATTAAAATATTCTATACACTTTAAATTAGTAACTGGAACACACATATATATCAATTCTGCACAATTAAATCATCTTTGCTGGGAGTATTATACATAAAATTTGAGGACATAGCTACTCAGTCAACCTAAACTGGTATAAGGTTATGTGGTATTAAGAAAGATAGACTTTTGCCCCTGCAATTATTGAAGATCTTAATTCAAATGTCTTTTCTGCCTTTATTGCTTACATGTTCATTCGGATTTGAATAGGCAGAGGAACCACGAAATTCCTAACAGGTTTAAAGCAAGTTACCTGCAGCAGAGTGTTCATGATGTCTATCTGCATCTTTAAAGTTGTACTGGAACCTGAGTGAGCTGTCTGTTTATATTTCCATTGTAAAAAATTTTATACAATTTTGAGATAAAAACAATGCAAAAATAAAACATTTAGAGCATTTACAAAAATCTTACAAATGTTTAAAACACTATTTCAAAACTTGTTTCCTGTTAAGGTGCTTCTTTCTGCAATAGGAGAACATCTATTTTTTAATTTTAAATTATGAAGTTTTTAATTTCAATAAAAAGCAAAGTTAGAGCCATTAAGACAGATGGGAATGTTTAGGGATATACTTCACTCCTGATGAAAATACAATATTTTAGTGCTGAAAGGGACCTTAAAGGTAAACTCTTTTAACCTCCTCATATGTTAATGAGGAAACTGATGGATAGATAAATTAAGTGCTTTGACTAAAAATATATTCAAATATATCTGCTTGATACAAATCAAGAAAACTCATTATTACTTCTTATATTTTACCATGATTCTTGGAAAAATAAAAATTCAAAAGCAGTTTCTGACCTTGCCTTTCTTCTTTTTATAATTTCTTAAGCTCTGTGCCAATTGTAAATAAAGAAAAGAATCCAATGGCTACTAAAATATCACAAGTATTATCCAAGAAGAAAGTTGTTAGAGGACCACTGCTCCTATACAATAAAGCCAGAGGGCACACTCAAAGATAGGGCATTTACAATGTAGAGAACACTTATTATCTAAGACAGCACAGTGTACAATAGCCAATTACAACAATCACCTCAGAACTCTAGGATGATTGAGTTACAGAGCCTTTATAAACAACACTGGGGTAAGAAAGCTTTCTAGCTTTTAACTTTACTACTTTTCTTTATAAAAGAGCTACACTTATAAGGAAGAACCCATATACTAATTTTCAGAGTCTTTGCTTCTTTTCTATTTTTATTTGTATGTAGAATCAAGCAAATACATTTTATTAACAACTTTACAAACTCAGATTTATAACTGCTAGAAATACAGCCAGAGAATACTCTTAAATGACAATCTTTATAATCAGTTACTAATAAATAATCATCATCACAATAGCTTCAGTTAAGAAAAAAGAATTCAATTTAAAGGTGCTTTCTTATTGTTACCTTGAAGCCATCGGACTTGTGTAGCTGGTCCATATCCCTTTTCATTCTTTGCTGATATCCTGAACACAATGGCAGGCCTGGACGTATAATCAATATGTGCATTTGCAAGTTGCCCAGTAGTTACTATACATGATGTTTTAAGACCACAATAAATCCTCATAAACACAAGTTGGCTTGGATTATCTTGTATCTGTGCTGTGCGAATAGCCAAGTAGGCTGAATATTCCAGAATATTTCCAGAAGGTGAAGTTGGAGGTTCCCAGGAAAGATGGATACCTTCAGCATTCTTGAAGAGAGGGGAAAAAAACAGGTAAAGGTTCTCAAGCTTTTTCTATTACCATTTATTATGTTGAGCCTATCTTTAAAACATAGAAAGCTCCTTTTTCCTAAAGTAATTATATTAAATATTAGATCTTAGGGCCAGCATTTTGGCCCAGCAGTTTAAGGCACCACCTGTGATGCCAGCATCCCAAATGAGCATGAGTTCGAGTCCTGGCTGCTCCACTTCTGATCCAGCTGCCTGCTTATGTGCCTGGGAAAGCAATAGAAGATGGTTCAAGTACTTGGGCCCCTGCCACCCATGCGGGAGACCTGGATGACCCTCCTGGCTCCTGGCTTCTGCCTGGCCCAGACCCATCCATAGCTATTTGGAGAGTGAACCAGCTGTTGGAAAACCTTTCTCTGTCTCTCTTTCTCGGTAACTCTGCTTTTCAAGTAAATAAATAAATCTCTTTCTAAAAAAAGATCTTTTATTGTTGACTTTAGAAACCTACCTTAATTAAATCTACATAATTCCACAATGCATAATTCATCTATAATTCTACAATATTTGATTCATGTCCACTTTTAAAAAACAATGAGGCTTAACTATCTGTGCTAAATATCCCCAAGAGGGGATTTTTCTTCCCTAAAAGCAGATCTTTTCTTCTCCAGGGAGGGGCAAGTCTTTAGGATAAAATATAATCTAATCTTACGTGCTCTATTAAAATTCTCTAGCATGAACTTTTGAGTTCCATAAGAACAAGAACTAAGATAAGCATACCAGATTTCCCTGACTTTCTATGATTTGGAACCTGTAATTCTGCTTAAAATTTGGTACTTAAAAATATCATTCATGGGCCAGCGCCGCGGCTCACTAGGCTAATCCTCCGCCTTGCGGCACCGGCACACCGGGTTCTAGTCCCGGTCGGGGCGCCGGATTCTGTCCCGGTTGCCCCTCTTCCAGGCCAGCTCTCTGCTGTGGCCAGGGAGTGCAGTGGAGGATGGCCCAGGTGCTTGGGCCCTGCACCCCATGGGAGACCAGGAGAAGTACCTGGCTCCTGCCATAGGATCAGCGCGGTGCGCCGGCCGCAGCGCGCTGGCCGTGGCGGCCATTGGAGGGTGAACCAATGGCAAAGGAAGACCTTTCTCTCTGTCTCTCTCTCTCTCACTGTCCACTCTGCCTGTCAAAAAAAAAAAAAAAAATATATCATTCATGATTAGCAGACAATATTTTTAATCCACCCCTTTTAGTTATCTCTCATTTCATTAGATGCTAACCAGAATTTCTAAGGTAACAATTTATTTCATGTATGAAGTTTCAAATAACTTAAATCATCAACAAGTCAAGCTGATATCTCACCTTTGAAATTCTAACTGCAGAAGGAGCTCCAGGAAAACCAGGAATACAAGTTTTAAATTCACTAATTTTGCTGAAAGGGCCTATTCCACAACCATTGATTGCAGCAACCCTGAATCTGTATCCTGTGCCTGGAACAAGATCCTGTTTCTTGAGTAGACTGTAGTCAGGTACATCTGCGTTTCCTACCTAAAATGTAACGCATGCAAAAGTCAAAGAAATGGCACCGTCAACATCACTAAAATTTTTAAATTATTTTTTCATTAAATACAAAAATGTTAACAAATAATTTATGCTTTGAGGTTCCAGTTTACATTTATTTACTTCACACATGGTATGAATCCTCTTAAATAAAAGCAACTAAGACAACAAATCAAATCAGTGTTTCTAAGGAAAAATGTACTTTCCAGTTAAGAATCACTGGTTTTTATAAAGAGAAATACATGAATTGTATGAGGGTAGAAAAAAATTAATAACCACTATAAACAAAGTAACAATTATGCTATCCCTGTGTAGACCTAACATGAAGCAGAAATTTCAGACTTAGTCTGCTGGGACAACACCCTTTAGAAATAATAAGCAAGCAAGCAACACAGTAAAGGAATGACTAGCATGTAACAGAGAGCATCTAAAAATTCATGAGGTAGGCATTTGACACAGCAGTTAAGGTGCTGCTTAGGACATCCACATTCTAATTAGATTGCAAGGTTATTTATTTAGTCATTCATTCATTCATTCATTTAAAGTCGGAGTTACAGACAGATCTTCCATCTGCTGTTTCACCACCAGATGGCCTCAACAGCCAGGCCAAACACAAGAGCCAGAAGCTTCATCTGGGTCTCCCACATAAGTGGCAGGAGCCCAAACACTTAGACCATCTTCTGCTGCTTTACCCAGGCTGTTAGCAGGGAGCTGGATTGGAAGAGGAGCAGCTGGGACACAAAGCAGCAACTATATGGGACGTTGGCAGCATCACAGGTAACGGCTTTACCCACTATGCCACAACACCACCTCTGAAGTGCAAGTTCTAATCTCAGCTCCACTCCCTATTCCAGCTTCCTGCTAATGTACACCCTGGGAGGTAGCAAGTGACGGCTCAAGTACTTGTTCCTGCCAACTCATGTAGAGGCCTGAGTTGAGTTCCTGACTCTTGCCTTCAGCTTGGCCATGATCTAGTTGTTATGGGCATTTGGGGAGAGAACTGGAGGATGGGAAGATCTCTCCCTCCCTCCCTCCCTCCCTCCCTCCCTCCCTCCCTCCCTCCCTCCCTCCCTCCCTCCCTCCCTCCCTCCCTCCTTTCTTTCTTTCTTTCTTTCTTTCTTTCTTTCTTCTCAATATTTTATTTATTTATTTGAGAGTACAGTTACAGTGATAGGGAGAGATAGAAAAGTCTTCCTTCTGTTGGTTCACTCCCCAAATGGCCGCAACAGCTGATCCGAAGCCAGGAGCCAGGTGCTTCTTCCTGGTCTCCCATGCGGGTGCAGGGGCCCAAGCACTTGGGCCATCTTCTACTGCTTTCCCAGGCCACCACAGAGAGCTAGATTGGAAGAGGAGCAGCTGGGATTAGAACCGGCACCCATATGCGATGCCGGCACTGCAGGTGGAGGATAAACCTACTGTGCCATGGCGCCGGCCCTTCTTTCTGACTTTCAAAAGCAAATTTTTAAAAAATTTTTTAATTAAATAGTCAGTACAGAGGGATGGGCATTTGGCCTAGTGGTTAAGATACCCAATCCGGCCGGCGCCGCGGCTCACTAGGCTAATCCTCCGCCTTGCGGCGCCGGCACACCGGGTTCTAGTCCCGGTCGGGGCGCCGGATTCTGTCCCGGTTGCCCCTCTTCCAGGCCAGCTCTCTGCTGTGGCCAGGGAGTGCAGTGGAGGATGGCCCAGGTGCTTGGGCCCTGCACCCCATGGGAGACCAGGAGAAGTACCTGGCTCCTGCCTTCGGATCAGCGTGGTGTGCTGGCAGCAGCGCGCCGGTCGCGGCAGCCATTGGAGGGTGAACCAACGACAAAAGGAAGACCTTTCTCTCTGTCTTTCTCTCTCACTGTCCACTCTGCCTGTAAAAAAAAAAAAAAAAAAAAAAAAAACCCAATCCCAATCAGAGTTGGAATCCTATTTCCACTTCTGACTCCAGCTTCTTGTTAATGTGACAGTAGTGATGGCACAAATAACTGGGTTCTTCCTGTCACACATGGGAGACCTGGATTGAGTTCCCAGCTCCTGGCTTTGGCTTTTGCAGCAGGCATTTGGGCAGTGAACCAGCAGATGGGAGCACTCTCTTGGTCTCTGTCTCTCTTTGACTCTCAAATACATATTTTTAAAAAAATTAAAATCCAGCAGACACTGAATTAAGGTTAAACAAAAATAATTAGATTGCATATTTTAGGTAGGAAAATCATACCTTTCAAACAATTTTCATACATTCTCCCTAAATCTCACAATACTGCTGTGATACAGGGAATGCTAAAGTATAATCTTACTTTAAAGGTGCTTTGTCATCTCTATTTTACAGAGGAGGAAACCAAGTCTCAGTTTAAACAACTATCTTGTCAAAGATCAGACTGTTGGGTGCTGGAACTAGTGGTTCAAATCCAAGTTTAATGGCTATAAATTTTATGCTTTTTTTTCATTTAGGAAAAATTAGGTAGTTAATAGGTCCCCAGAAATGGAAATGTCATTATATGTATGAAATTCAAATGTGGGCAGAAAGTTCATTAGATATAATACTAACAAATTATTAACCAAAATTTCTGTTTATGAAAATAATTGAAAAAATTATAAAGATTCCAGAAGTAACATTGGAGGAATTCAATATAAATACTATATATAGTCTCTATTTTTGCAGATCTTCAGATTTAAGATTAATATCATTTTTTGAATAATTTCTTCTCAAAAATTTTCAGTCAATATCAGAAAATAAATTAGTTCAATAAGCTTGGGAGCTGCTATTTCTTCAAATTCTTAAAGGGTTAATTAAGGAGCTTTAGAATCACAGAAAATATTAGATAGTACTTCATAGAATACAGGGCTTTCATAGTTTTTAAATCATGAAGTCAGGAATAAAAATAATTTCTGAATAAAAGGAAATAGGAACAGGTATTTGGCATAGCAGTTAAGTCACTGCTTCGGATGCTTCTGTCCCATATCAGAGTACCTGGTTCAAGTCCTAGCTACTCTATTTCTGATCCAGTTTCCTGTTAATGTATTTCATTTCATGGGAGATAGCAGGTAATGGCTCAAATACTAGCGTCTCTGCCACCCATAGAGGAGACCTAGATTAAATTCCAGGTTCCTTGTAGAAGTGAAACTGACACTATAAGAAGCAATGATTTGGCCGGCGCCACAGCTCACTAGGCTAATCCTCTGCCTTGCGGCGCCGGCACACCGGGTTCTAGTCCCGGTTGGGGCGCTGGATTCTGTCCCGGTTGCCCCTCTTCCAGGCCAGCTCTCTGCTGTGGCCAGGGAGTGCAGTGGAGGATGGCCCAGGTGCTTGGGCCCTGCACCCCATGGGAGACCAGGAAAAAGCACCTGGCTCCTGGCTCCTGCCATTGGATCAGCGCGGTGCGCCGGCCGCAGCGCGCCAGCCGCGGCGGCCATTGGAGGGTGAACCAACGGCAAAGGAAGACCTTTCTCTCTGTCTCTCTCTCTCACTGTCCACTCTGCCTGTCAAAAAAATAAAAATAAAAAAAAAAAAGAAGCAATGATTTGATCAGCCCTTGTCTTGACTCTTGAGGAACAGCTTACTATTTTATTCTTTTTAGTATTTTCTTTTTCTACTAAATACCATTTGTTGAACTCTTTAATTAACACAGAATTATTATAGGGTGTTTAAATCCAACTGAAAATTGATCCCTGTTAAAAATAAGAGTGGGAATAAAAGAGGGAGGAGATGTACAGTTCGGCACATGCTCCCTTGGACTCACCCCTACGGGTAAAGCTAAAAACTTGCCATGGGACTGCAAATCCATTAAGTTGGCAGGTACCAATGCCATCTTAATATTTAAAATGATCAGTTTAAGTTCATAACTGATTATAAAGATAGAATTAAGTGTTAAAAGGATCACATAAATAAGACTAGTGTCTGCTAATACTAACTGATAGAATTAAAAAGGAGAGAATGATCCAACATGGGAAACGGGATACACAGCAGACTCATAGAATGGCAGATGCCCTAAACAGCACTCTGGCCTCAGAATCAGCCCTTAAGGCATTCAGATCTGGCTAAAAAGCCCATGAGAGTTTCTCAGGCATGGAAAACCAAGACACTGTGGCAAAAAATGACCTAAATGAAAGATCTCTGTATATGAGATCCTGGTGGAAAGATGGGGCCATCAAAGAAGGAGGTACCTTTCTCTGAAGGGAGGAGAGAACTTCCACTTTGATTACGGTCTTGTCTAAATAAGATCGGAGTTGGTGAACTCAAGAGGTTTTCATAGCCTTGGCAGCTCATGACAAGAGCCTTGGGTGAGTACTGACGTCATAAATAAGAGTGCCAAGTGTTAAATCAACAACAGGAGCCATTGTGCACTTGTTCCCCATGTAGGACCCCTGTCCTTAATGTGTTGTACTATGAGAATTAATGGTAAAACTAATCTTCAAACAGTACTTTATATTTTGTGTGTCTGTGTGGATGCAAACTGTTGAAATCTTTACTCAGTATAGAGTTGATCTTCCGTATATAAAAATAATTAAAGATGAATCTTAATAAACAATGGGATGGGAGAGGGAGTAGGAGATGGGATGATTTGCGGGTGGGAGGGTGGTTATGGGGGGAAGAACTTCTATAATCCAAAAGTTGTACTTTTGAAATTTATATTTATTAAATAAAAGTTTTCTATTAAAAAAATAAAGTTCTGCAGTAACAACAACAACAAAAAAATTCCAGGTTCCTGGATTCAGCCTGGCCAGTGGGCATTTGGGAAATGAAACAGTGGTAGAAAGATCTCTGTCTTTGTCTCTACGCCTTAGAAGGAAGGAAGCAAGGAAGGAAGAGAGGGAGGGAAGGAGAGAGGGAGGGAGAGAGGAGGGAGGGAGGGAGAGAGGGAAGGAGGGAGGGAGAGAGGGAAGGAGGAAGGAAGGAAATAAGGAAGGAAGGGAGGGAGGGAGAGAGGGAAGGAGGAAAGAAGGAAGGGAGGAAGGGAGGGAGGAAGGGAGGAAGGGAGGGAGGGAGGGAGGGAGGGAGGGAGGGAGGGAGAATTCCATTTTTTAAATATACTAGGTAACGATATTAGAGATATTTCAAAAATAATCTTAATTTGTGTTTTGGTCAGACTAGATAATTTGACTCAAAACCCAGCTCAGTGACTGTATAACATTTTTTAAATGACATACTTGTGATATGTTCTATAAAAGGAGCCTTAACAACAACAACAACAAAATACAAGGTAACTAGGCATACAGAACTCTCAATAATAGGTTGTTGGACAGATCTAGATTTTATTCATTCAAGTGACCTGATCAAGCTAATAAAAAAATTCTCATTCTTGAGGCTTATAACTCATATTGAACAAAATATTGAGAGCTACCTTTGAGATGCTTTGCTTTCCTTTTGGCAGCAAATAAAACTGGTTCACCAAAGCTGTATTATTTTTAAAAATTCCCACATCACACCACTGTCGTTCTCCTGCTTTCACTGTGGCCACTGGATTTGAAGGAATCTCTTTCTAATTTCAGAGAAAGAAAATTTTGATGAAGTCTCTTATTGAGCACTTGAGAAATTTCAAGATTTAATAAAATCATGCAGTGATCTACAAGTATATATATGGGTAAACACAACATTAATAGCTCCTAAGTAAATAAAGGCTTGACAGATTAGGTCAACTGACAGTGAAACAGGGATGCCAATTCAAACATAGGGAGTGACAGGCATTCTCCAAGTCAGTAGCTTTGTCCTATCAATTTGGTCGGAGTTAGCATGCTTTTCAATCAGTGATATGTTAAAATGCCAGCCATTTTATAGAACATTGTCATTTCAGAGGCTCTCAGAAAATATAATCCCTTAGTGTAACATAACAACTTGCTCCAAAAAGAGCAAATAAAGAAAATTCATTTCAAGCTGGCTTATTTCTACTTTCAAAAACAACTAGCAGAAGTTCAGTGATCTTTCACTTTAAATACCTGTGATTCTCCAAACCTAAAAGGAGAAAAAGTGTTCAAAACTAAAATGCCATTTGAATATGTTTTAGTATATAGTAAACAGGAATAGATTAAACAGTTTTACATTTTTATCCTGCTTTAAAACAAATAAACTTCTTCTACCTTAAGCTACTTTTAGTGATAAGTGAATTATACTTATCCCTGGAACTAACCTTTTTAAGCCATCTTCTTTATAAATGAGACACTGTTTCCAGAAGCTCAAAACAAACGTGCACTTCAGTTATTTTTGTCTTAAATATATAACAGCAGAAGTACATGCTTATAATTACATTTTTTTGTTAAGGTTATCACATATGACAAAGTAAGCTAACTAGATGAGTTTTTATGGTTTAAAAAAAGCTTTAAATTTGTTTTCCTTTTTTAAAGTTGCAGAAACTCTCAACAACTTTTATAAAACAACTGGCTCCAGCTGAAATAACAATTATAATTCTGCCTGATGCACTGTAAAACAGGCTTGAGAAAAAACAAAGTTCCTTTTAATAATCCTTCTCTGAAAAAGAGTCTAAGAACACTAAGACTTAATATTTTGGAAAAGTGAAATTCAATAAAGGTAAATGAATATATAACTGAAATACATAAAACTGAAAACTATAGATAATTCTTAAAGATCTTAAAAAGTAAACAATTAGGCCAAATAAAAACTCCTATTCATAGCAACAGAGTTGAAATGATGGATAATTTTTTAAAAAATATTCAAAAAGTATACATGAGAAAGTATTCAAAAAGCTCCCAGTGGGGCTGGCGCTGTGGCTCAGTGGGTTAGCCACCGTTTGCAAGGCTGGCATCCCATAACTGGAGTGCCAGTTCAAGTCCTGGCTATTCCGCTTCCAACCCCACTTCCTGCTTATGTGCCTGGGAAGGTAGCAGAAGATGTGGGAGACCAGGATGTAGCTCCTGGCTTCAAGCTTTGACCTGGCCCAACCTTGGCAACTGTGGCCATTTAGGGAGTGAATCAGCAAATGGAAGGTCTTTTTTTTTTCCTTTTTTTTCTCTCACACACACTATCATTCTTTCAAATAAATAAATCTTAAAAAAAAAAAGCTAACAGAAAAATGCACTTTATAAAATAATATGCATATATTTCAAAATTTTTTGTACCAAAATAGACATATTTTAATTCCATTTCTCCATGAACTTTTGAAGCATCTTCATATATGTATGTGTTTTTCTTACATTTATGTAATTAAGACAATCTTGATGTATTTGTGAAATGCTTTCGTAGCATTTTAAGTTTGGTGCCAGGCAGATCAATTTTTGCCTTCCATAAAACAATCCATTCTCAGAGATTATTAGGTCATCCTATGTAATGTAATATTGCAATATTCTGTCATGCTCCTACTAAGAAGCTAACAATAATAGAGCCATGCAAGTTTTTCTGTTCTATAACACAGTCTATCTTTAACCATGAATGTAATTTGTATTTAGATATTTGTACACATATATCTGAAGGCACTTCAAAAATTTATAGGAAATGTAATTAAAAGCTAAGTTTAGAGGTAGATGTTTGGTCCAGTGGTTAAGTCTCTGCTTGGGACACCTGCATCCCATATTCGAGTGCCTGGTTTGAGTCCTTTTTTTTTTTTTTTCTTTTTTAAAAATATTTTATTTATTTGAGAGGCAGAGTTACAGACAGAGAGAGGGATAGACAGAGAGAAATCTTCCATCTGCTAGTTCACTCCCTAAGTGGCCACAATGGCTGGAGTTGGGCCAATCCAAAGCCAGGAGCTTTTTCCAGGTCACCCACATGGGTGGGTGTAGGGGCCCAAGCACTTGGGGCATCTCCCACTGTTTTCCCATGTCATAAGCAGAGAGTTGGATCAGAAGAGTAGCAGCAGTGACACAGATTGGTACCCATATGGAATTCCTGCTCCACTTAATGAGGAGGCTTAGCCTACTACGCCACATCACTGTCCCTGAGTTCTAACTTCTTTATGTCTGATCCAGCTTCCTGCTAACGCACACCCTAGGAGACAGCAGGTGATGGCTCAAGTGCTTGTGTCCCTGACACTCATGTAGGAAACCTGGATTGAGTTCTGGACTCCTGGCTTTGGCCTGGCCCAGTCTTGGCTCTTGTGGGCTTTAGGGGAGTGGATCAGTGAATGTAAGATCTCTCTATTGGTCTCTATCTCTCTCACGTTTTCAAATGAAATGAAAATAGACAAGTAAAAAAATTTCTTTAAAGATAAGCTTATATTGGTGCTAAAATTTTTGGAAATTTATACATAGTTTTTCCATAATACACATTTCAGTGAATTTTTTGGAAGATTTTTATATATACAGGTAGGTATATATACATATTTCTGATTATAAAAGTACATGTCATAGAAAAATATAACAAGAAAGTAAAAATTGTGGCTCCACAACTTGGAGACAGTCATCTATCTTTTTTTACAGTGGATGTGTGTGCATGCATGCATGTACAACTGTGAATGTTATGTATATATGTATGTATGTATGTATGTATATGTATATATATATATATATATATAGTGTGTGTACTTTTTAACAACATGGGATAGGGGTCGGAGCTTTGGCACAGAGAGTTAAAGCAGTTAAAGCCCTGGCATGAAGTGCCAGCATCCCATATGGGCGCCGGTTCTAGTCCCAGCTGCTCCTCTTCCAATCCAGCTCTCTGCTATGGCCTGGGATAGCAGTAGAAGACGGCCCAGGTCCTTGGGCCCCTGCACCCGTGTGGGAGACCCAGAAGAAGCTCCTGGCTCCTGGCTTTGGATCAGTGCAGCTCCAGCCATTGTGGCCATCTGGGGAATGAACCAGCAGATGGAAGACCTCTCTCTCTGTCTCCACCTCTCTCTGTAACTTTTTCAAATAAATAAAATAAATCTTAAAAAAAAACAAACAAACCATGAGATCACAGCTTATTATACAGCTTTTTTCACTAAACATACTATGGACATTTTCCTATTTAATCGTTTGTTTCTAAATTTGTCAATTCATTACTAACTGAGACCTGAGAACCTTTTTATGACTTATTTAGAAATTGCTCAGCATTTAAAAGCACATAATCACCTGTAAACATGCATCGTCACAAGATTATATACTTACAGAGAATGGCATTGCTGCACCATGTGTCTCTACACGGCTGATCTTACTTGCAGGCAGAGCACATGTTTCATCAACTAAAAATTAAATAATCACATAAGATTTATTTATATAATAACTTATCAGACACATTAAAGCATAATTTATAAATATACAACTATTAATACTGCCCAACTATACATTTAAAATAACTGAATAAAGTTCATTTTCATAAATACTTAATGACTAGCTGGAACTTCAATGAATGTTTACCAAAGATGAAACAGAATTCCTATTGCAAAACAATAAGAATTTACAAAGTTAGAAATCAACCAAGCTGGGAAAATTGTTCACCCACAGGCAAGAACTAAGGTCTTCTAAGGAAAGGTTTGCTGATTTATTCATGATTGAGAAGATATATTCTGAGTATACTTCTGTGTGAGCTAATCTAAATATATTATGTAAGGCAGCAAAGAATATTTTATATGAATTTAACAGAAACACGTTATCTGCTTATATGATTCAAACAAGATGAAATGCCATTCTTAACTAAGACAAGTAAGTTTGATGACTTTATATACATAAATGGTTCAAAATACAGTATGTGAAACACATTTCAAACCTTCAGATTTGGTACTGAATGTTGTTAGTGAAGTTTCATCTTTAACCACTGCCCCATTTGTACTGGAGGATTCAGTTTTAATGGTCTGCTGGGTTACCATGGTTTGTGTGCTGGAAACAGTACTGGATACAGAAGTTTCAGAGACTACTGTTCTTAAGTCCAGGCAACTAAGTACACCTATGTGTGCTGACGTGTGAGGACCTAAATTTAAAGGGAAAAGATAAAAATATTAATATAGTAACAATAAAAATTTTGGATTGAAATTTAAAAATTATATAACTACGGATAACTATTGTCTCATAGTTCTTGTGTAATTCTTGATACTTTCAGTTTTAAAATCATAAACATACTAAATGGCATTAGTATAAATTTATCATTAGGCATAAAATGTTCAGAAAAAATAAAGTGCATTAGATCTACAATGGATGTTTATCTTCCCAGCTCCCTCTTCCATTCCATACATTGAACCAAAGTTCTTGAACTGTAGTAAATTGTGTAACAAATGGCTTTGCCTCTCTCATTTTAGAGGCAAAAAATAGAGGTAATCAGGCATGAATTCCCTCAATTTTTTGCTTTCTTCTGTCCTAAACTAGAAATGTGTTTATGATCTTCAGCCCATCCTCCCTGGCTTCTTTTCCATTTCAGAAGATGAGTTAATCTCTTTCCTACAGAAGTTTAAGCTATCCTCCTGCATTCTTGTACCATTCTTTGTCCCAGTTTTAGGATCATTTATCAATTACTCCTGTCTTTTCAGGGTTACCAGTTTCTTCTTCTTTAGCTTCTGACACTCAGCCTATACACATCACCTAGTCCCAAGTCATAGACATGCATCTTCCTTGACCCACAAGTTCCCTCCAGTTATCACTTTTCTCACCAGTTCCCTTCACAGCAATTTGTATTTCCTTAACTTCCCACCAGTTTGGATCCTTAGCACATTACTCTTAATGAAATGGCTCTGGAAAGCAATGATTTCTAAGGGATACTTTTCAATTTCCATTTTCTTGATCTTTCTGCAATGTAGATAATGCTGACCACATATTCCTTTTCAAAAAGGACTTGGACCCCTGCACCCCTGTGGGAGACCTAGAAGAGGCTCCTGGCTCCTGACTTCAGATAGGCCCAGTTCCAGCTATTGTGGTCATTTGGGGAGTGAGACATTGGATATAAGACCTCTTTCTCTCTCTCTGCCTCTCTGTCACTCTGCCTTTCAAATAAAAAATAAATCTTAAAAAAATAAAAAAGAGATCTAAACCAGTGTGTTCATTAAATACCTCAAAAAAACTAAATTCAAAATCAAGCCTTTTTCTTAAAACTGTTCTTGCTCCTCTACTTTTTATTTTGATGAAGAGTATGATCATCCATTCTGATTCCAACCCAAAAACCTAGGAGCCACGTTCAAACCATTTGTATTTCTCAAATTCAACCAGCTGGCAAGTCTAACAGATGCAACTTTCTTAAAGTCTTTTAAATAATATATTCCCTCCATCCATCCCAAATACTGCTTTAGTCTCTATCCATCTCCTAACAAGTTTCCCAATCATTTCCTACTATAGTGCTTTCTGATAGAGAGGCTAGAATGCACTCTTAAAAATCTAATGTTACTCCTCCACTTTTTGAAACATACCCTAACCTAGAGAGAAAAAGTCAAACTCCTCCTGTTAATCTGATAGATTACCCTAGATACACTTGAGTGTCTATGATATGCCAGGCACTGTCACTATACAAACACTCTGGTTTTCCTACTTACCTAGTATTAACCTTATTCAAACTGCCTTGTAACATTCATTTAGAATGCACTAAGATTCTGAAACTTCAAAGCTTCTATTTGATTCAGGGCTAAACCTCTTTGTAAAATAAACACATAGAAAATCATTATAAGAAATAAATTTAAGTTAAAGTCTAGGACTAAACTGTAAAAATTATGACCAAATAATTCCCTTATATAAGAAACTCAACTAAACAAAAGAACTCTCCTCTTCCACAGTAATGCAATGATAAAACTATCTTCCTTAAGTATTTTTTAATCTATCCTTGACTCATAAAGAAAAATGGAAATAAAAATGCTCATCTTGAGTCTGGCATTGTGGCAGAAAGGGTTAAGTCACCACCTGCAATGTCAGCATATAATCTGAGCCCTGGTTTGAGTCCCAGCTGCTTGGCTTCTGATCCAACTCCCTGCAAAATGTGCCTGGGAAAGCAGTGAAAGATTGCCTGAGTGTTGAGCCCTTGCCACCCATGTGGGAGACCTGGATGAATTTCTTGGCTCCTGGCTTTGGCCTGTCCCAGTCCCAGCTGTAGCAGCCATTTGGGGAGTAAACCAGTGAATGGGAGTTCTCTCTGTCTCTGTCTTCCTCTCTCTTTAACTCTGGCTTTCAAATAAGTAAATAAATAAATTTTTAAAAAAATTCCATCTCATTAAATTTGAGTCATCAAAAAATAATTTCAGATTTATATGGCTGTAATGATTTTTTCAAAGTAAAAATAAAGTCACATGTTCTTATATCAGGAATATATCAGTGAAATTAATAAAATAATTTGAGATATTGAAATTAGAGATCATACTTAATATCATACTTAACTGATGGTATTATAATATTCAAATATGCATATTAACAAATTATAAGCTATCTAACAAATGCAATGAATGGACTAATCAACAGTAATTACAAACGGACTGCTGCCTTTCTGAGGATAATCTAGTACCTTGCTAAATAGTATTTAATAAGTACCTATTATTTACCAGGCACAAATTTAGGTGTTGAGGAAACATGAACTAGACAGATATAATCCTTGCTCAAAATAAATAATCTCAGACAGTTAAAAGTGCTAAGTAATGGGACATTAAAACTGAACACACTGGGAGCCGATGCTGTAGTGTAGTGGATTAAGCCTCCATCTGCAGTGCTGACATTCCATATGGGCACCCGTTCAAGTCCTGGCTGCCTTCTTCCAATCCAGCTCTCTGTTACGGCCTGGGAAAGCAGTGGAAGATGGTCCAAGTGCTTGGGCCCCTGTACCAATGTAGGAGACCCAGAAGGAGCTCTTGGCTCCTGGCTTTGGATCAGCCCACCTCCACTATTGTGGCCATTTGGGGAGTGAACCAACAGATGGAAGACCTTTCTCTGTCTCTCCCTCTCTCTGTCTGTAATGCTCTCTCTCAAATAAACAAAAACCTTTAGGAAAAAAAAAAAACAAAAAACTGAACACACTGGCCAGCCTCAAATGCCATATAAAAACTTGGCTTATTTATATTCTATAACATTTTAACTAAACATTATTATTTAGGTAAGCAGTTACTTGGTATTCTGACATCATTCATAACTAGGTTCTAGATGGTAAGTATTTTATATGAGAAAATGGATCAAAACCATTTGGCTCTATAATTCCCTGCCACCATAAAAAGCTTTAGTTTTATTTAAAATATCATCCTTATACCTTCATTTTTCCTTAGCATGTCTTCCACACTATTATGATTAGAAGCATTAGATGCCAAAGATGAATGTAAAATAGCATTAGAATCTGTTGATGCTTTGAAGTCTGGTGTGTTTTTCATTAAAGTTCCTTTCATGCCTGTATGTTCAGTTTTTGCACTGTTTACTGTATCACTGATCTACAAGAAATAAAATAGGTTACTGTAGCAAGCAGTATTCGATGAAATAGAAATACAAGTAAAAAAAATCAAAGTAATTTACAATTTAAATTTTTTTGAAAATAAATTAACTGAAGTGTGAGATATATTCAAATTATATTCTTAATTTCCTTAGATTAAGTTTTATAAAAGTTTTTAAGAAAACCATTTATTTTCACTTAATTGCTACACTCAAAAGATCAGTTTTTAAAGGAGAAAGTGAGGTTATATTTTGAGAAAAAAATTCATTATTTTCATAAGCAGTAGCTAAGTATTACAAGTAAATATTTAGGTAATACAGGAAAAAACATCAAAGCAACTAACTTAAACATCTGGTCAAATTTTCTCATCAAAATTTAGATATATATGCTAAAGATCCAATAACTCCTAAAAGTAAAATCTCAGTTACACAAAACTTTAATACAAATGAATTATTCAATATGACTGAGTTTTCCATACAGATGGAAAGAATAATACATACATGAGGAGTCTTCAAAAAGTCTATAGGAAATGTGTATTGTGAAAAGGCTATCTATGGGTTTCAAAAATATTTGGCACCAACTGAGCCAAAGTGGAGCCATGGAGGACCAGAACATGGAGGAGCTGCTGGCAAAGGCAGAGCTGGACAAAGCTGAGAAACTACAGGCACATCAAGGCGCACAAGGATGTGGAGTTAGAGTTTGACCTAGGCAACCTGCTGGCTTCTCACCAGAACCACCCAACTGGGCTGTGGCCATGGGGTGCGTGGAAGAGACGCTGGTGGCTCCGCTGCCTAGGCCCACCACTCACTCGCCTACTGCATGAGAAGCTGATGCCCTGGCTGTGGCAGCTGGCACACTTCAAGAACAACTGTCCTAAGAAGGCCAATCTGGTGCAGGAGGAGGTATGAGTTATCAGCTCACCAAGGACGACACCAACGAATGGTAGAGCATGGTGCCCAGTGGTGCTGACCCTTTAGAGGACCAGTTTGCCAATTGCATTCAGGCCAAAAAAGGAATGAATGGGTGACCAAAAACGAATCTGCATGCACACTACCCAGCTGCCCAGCACAGCCATCATGCACTCTACTGGATACCAGAGTAAGAGGGAGCTGGGCATCACCATGCCAAGTGGCTAAGGTCTCCACTCCCTGTCTTCCCTAAAGAGTAAGTGCCATGAGCCTCCAACAAGAGGAGGAAGTTTCAGACTTTGCAGCTGAGAAACAAACAAACAAACAAACAGAAAAAACGCAAACCAACCAGATGGAGCTACTTCCAGTAAAAAACAGCTGGAAGCCTAAGCTGGATGTGACAAGGGCAGATAATGTGACACTAAGTAGATAATGGAGAAGTGCCAAGGGCAGGCCACCAAGAGGAGGAAATGAGCCAGAAAGGGAAGAGAAACAGAGACAGGCAGGGTCCTGGGGAAAGCCAGGTAGGGGCCCACACCGCTGGGAAGGGAAGAAAATCGGAGGCTTGAGGGACAAGGTGAATTCCAGGCCCCCTGGCTTGGGTGGCAAGAGTAAACAAGAAGACAGTACCAAGAGCTAAGAAGGAAGTAACAGCTTCACCCTCAGACCCCTGTAAACCAAGAACTGTAAATGCCAAATGTGAACTTCTAGATACTGTAGTGGGAAGCAGAAGGAGGTGGTCACTGTCTTCATCAAGCTTGAGACTGAAGGGACAGGTTTTGCTCTCTCCTCAAGAAAGTCTAAGTTGTCAAACCTACAAATTCATGTCTTTCCCACAACTCAGACTGGCTGGAGATTAAGGATGTATGAATTAGGGAAATAATTTGTTCAAAACTAGAAAAGAGTTTTAAAAAGGTTATCTTTTTTTTTTTTTTTTAAATTTTGGATAGGGGGCGAGAGAGAGTTGGCCATGTTTCAGAAACTAAATAGATTGATTTATACATTTCTCCATTATTTTTATAACAAGCTTGTACAAGTATCAAAGGGGGAAGGGAAGATTACAAATATTTTCAGAACTGGATACACAAGAAACAGGTATGTTTATTTCATAAAAGTGTACCTGTAAAAAACATTTTTGCACCAAAATAAATTTATCTTTTAATTCTATTTTTCCATGAGCTTTCTGAAGTACTCTTATACATATCAGTATTCTTTACTGCTAAACATCTTAGATAAGAACCTTCCTAATTACATTTTCTCTGCCTTTTAAAACATACTATATCGAACACATCTGAGCTTTTTGATTAAATCATCAATGTGTACATCAGTAATAATTTACCAATACCTATTGGACTACTGAACCATGAAAGAGACCTGGCTTCATTCAAATACTTCAATATTTCTGCTCCTTTTCAGTTATCTGTTTCTTCTTACTTTCTATCTCTACTTTCATTGTCAACTCTTATGATTTCTCTAGGGATACTTGTCTATAACATGCCCTGTGCTTGCCCTTAATGGTGGTGATGGTGCTTCTGTTAATAAATGACAGCCACAATCATTGCACCAGACATTGTGCCAGGTGTCATGCTACACATTTAAACTTATCGCACTTCATCTTTACAAGAATTCTCTTAAGTTGGATAATGTGACTTATTCTAGAGATGAAGAAAATGAGATTCTGAGAACTCAGGTAGCCAGTAAATAACAAAGCTGGAATATAAACTCAGGTTCATCTAATTCCAGTATCTTCACGTTACAGTGTCTCTACTATGCTCTTTCCTTTAAACTCAGATAATCTAACTAGAATTGTGTAAAATAAAAATAAAGAAATTCCTAGATTTTTGGTTAAACATGGTAGATTAAAAATATATATATTTCAGGATATTTCTCCAAAAATCCAATTCAAGTAGGAATGGAAACTTAAAAAGTATAAAGGTAAAAAATTATAAGGAAAAAGAAAGGGAGAAGAGACAATGGTAGATAAGATGTAAAGCAGAAAAAAACTAGAAGTTAAGAGCCTACAGGTAGAAAGTCACTAAGACTTGCAGGGTTTGTGCTACAGGGCTCAGAAAAGCATCAGGTCCTGTGGTGTCAGTGGTGCAGATTCCAAGTGACAGCAGAGGACTGCCACCTGAAAGCCTGCAGAAGAAGCGCTGGAGCCCCAGATCTGCTCTCCCAGCACCCCAGGTCAATTTCCTCTCCCCTATTCTAATTAAAGAGGCGAAATAAGTAGAAAGGCTGAAATGTGAGGATCTAGGGGTTAGCACTGTGGTGCAACAGTCCAAGCTGCCACTTGCAATACCAGCATCCCACATGGGCGCTGGTCCATGTCCTGGTTGCTCCATTTACAATCCATCTCCCTGCTAATAGCCTGGGAAAAGCAGCAGGAAGATGGCCCAAGTGCTTGGACCCCTGCAGCCATGTGGGAGACCCGGAAGAAGCACCTGGCTCCTGACTTACACCTGGCCTAGCCCTGGCTGTTTTGGCCATCTGGGGAGCAAACCAGCACAAGGAAGATCTCTTTCTGTCTCTTCCTCTCTCTCTGTAACTCTTTCAAATAAAAACAAATAAATCTTTAAAGAGAAATTATCCTGCTACAGATTTATTGAATTTCAAGTCCTGCCTGTGGTTGCCTTGGTAGGGCCAGACCACATAATTTCATGAGCCCTGTAGGCCAGATGTTCCCAATCCCTGGTCTAGACTACAGAACAGGGTCCCTCGGGTGAGGGTAAGGAAGAGGCACCCATACTGAAAATAGGAATTAAGTGAAAGTCTACATGTTGAATAGAAAGATATTCTCACTCATTCCCTTACTAAGTTCCTAGAATACTCAAAGCCAGGCTTAGAGGGGCCAGCATTGTGGCATAATGGGTTAAGCTGCCATATTCAGTGCTGGAATCCCACATGGGCACTGGTTCAAGTCCCAGCTGCTCCACTTCTGATCCAGCTCTCTGCTATGGCCTCAGAAAGCAGTAGAAGATGGTCCAAGTCCTTCGGCCCCTGCACCTATGTGGGAGACCTGGATGAAGTTCCTGGCTCCTGGCTTCAGCCTGGCCTAGCCCCAGATGTTGTGGCCATTTAGGGAGTGAACCAGTGGATGGAATATCTCTACTCCTTTCAAAAAACAAACAAACAAACAAACAAAATAAATCTTAAAACAAAACAATCAAAAAAAATCCAGACTCATAAACCCTTGGGAAGAGGTTGGAGAATTCTAATAGGAAACTAACTGGCCTGAAAGAAAAGACTCACAGATACTGGTATTTACAGGTCCTCTCCCAATTGCCCTTATTTAGGTCCACTAATCAACAATTCATGCTCACACACATGGACCTCCCAAGCTCCCCTTGATGTCTACTTTCAACATGAAAGAAGGAGTAGGATTTGTGGCCCAGCGGGTTAAGCCTGGGACACTTGCATTCCATGTTGGAGTGCTGGTTGAGTCCTAGTTCCTCTGCTTCTGATTCAGCTTCCTTTTAATGCACCATGGGAGTCAGCAGATAATGGATCAAGTGCTTAAACTCCTGCTACCCACATGGAAGACTCGGATGGAATTTCAGGCTCCTGGCTTTGGCCTGATCTAGCCCTTGCCCATCATCAGCTTTGGGGAAGTGAATATTTGGATGGGTGCTCTTTTTGTCTCTCAAATAAAAAAAAAAGTAATTAAAATGTATTTAAAGTTAGATAGAACATTCATAACATAAAATAGAAAATTTTCACAAAGTAGAATACACAGAAAATAGGAGATAAAAACTAAAATTAGAGGACTAGTTCAGGAGAATCAACAAGAGTTTTAAAAACTTAAAAAGGGACAGGAAATAGGAGCCAGCAATGTGAGGTAGACATTCCTGGAGCTTCAGGGAGATCCTGGGAAAGCAAAATGGAGGGGTGGTGTCTAACCTAATGGCCTGCACCCTGGCTTACAGCAAGAAGCTGGAGGAGTTGAGAGAGAGCTTCCTGGACAATAAATCCTTGGCTACTAGAATTGACCAGGACAGCAGAACTGCACTGCATCGGGCATGCTCAGATGGACATACAGAAATTATTGAATTCTCCTCTTTTCATCACTGCTTCTGCTGGCCTGAGACTGAAA